CGTATCCTGCTGAACGCGCCTGGAGGTAGTGATGATAAAAGGGCGGCAACGCGGCCTCCGAGCCCGCCTGCGAGGTCGCGCCCAGACCCGACGGGGGAGGCCCCGGCGAACGCTAGTGTGCTGCCAGCGAGTGCGCAGTTAGACCTTGAGGACTTAACATTGGTGGACTGTGACTATGGCCCATAGGGGAGCCATGTAAGTGATCCTGTGGGTGGTAGCTTTGATGAAGACCAGGTTGACCTTGATGACCCGATGGCAAGCCCTCAATCATGCCGTCGGCCAGTGTGTTTGGTGGCGTCATGCGTTTTTCCTTTTGTCGCCGATTACAAAACCATACACGCACAACCTCCTTCTCGAGCTGGAGACTATCTGCAAGGGAAGTAATCTCCTGAGCGGAAGGCTTAGGCTGCTTATGGAAGTGTTGCTCAAGAGCACCTTTGACCGAGACTTCGATCGAAGTGCGCTTCTTGCGTTTCCGACCCTGTGCGGCAATCTTATCGATGTTGGTCGGTGAGCCCGTCGATGAGTCAGCCTCTTCGAGCCACTTCTGTAGTAGTGGTTTAAGTTTGCACATGTTCTTAAAACTGAGCTGGAGTGCTTCAAATCTACATATTGTCGTCTGTGAGAAGACGTTACCATAAAGAGTGCCTAGAGCGAGCCCAACATCGGCTTGAGTGAAACCGAGTTTGATACGTCGCTGCTTGAACTGCTTAGCGAAGGCCTCAAGGTCGTCGGAAGTCGGTGTGTCTTCCTCACCAGCACTGTGGTCCCTATCGAGAGCATGGCCCTGATGTAGCGGATGACCCGACGGTGGACTGTGATTATGAGCATCACGTAGATGGTGCGGTAGACCCGTTTGGTGACTGTGCAATTGATGTGGATGTTGATGAGGTTGATGATGCAAGATACCATTCATAGCTGCATGATACTGTTGAAGAGCAGCCGGTGAAGGCGATCCACCCCCTGGATTATAATGTCCTGAAGATACAACAGGTGCATGCCACGAATGGGGTGACCCCATACCAGGAGATTGATGAGGACCACGGTGATGCATACCACCAGGCTCACCAGCTGTGGCAGCTGCAGCAGCTGCCAATGGCTTTACATCCAATGCTGAATTGCTTTGGTGTGGATGATGGTGCGGATGATGTGTTGCATGATGCATACCCATAGAAGCGGCCCAAGGATCACTTCCAGGTTGCAAACTCGCCCAGGGGTTTGCTGCGGATAAACCTCCTGGATGCGACAGTCCATTAGGTGATGGTGAGGAATTCATTTGATGATGGTGATGATGATGATGATGATGTTGGGGAGCAGGCATGTACTTCATCTCGCCGGCGTCGGCTGCGCTACGGGGCGAGCCAGACGGATAGCCGGCGACGCCGATGTTCATGCCGCTGGCAGGTCCGGTACTGCCATCCAACTCGGACGAAACTGCGCTGCTAATTGGCATGTACGTGGTCGCGGCCATCTACCTACTTAGTTTTTGGGTGCAGGCTTCTAAGCTGCGATTGAACTTTCGCAGGTTTGTGCTTCGATTACTATTAATGGTACTGAGGTTGGTATTCGTAGTAATAATTTTCTCCTTACTATTACTACTACTCCTCTTTCCACACTCTTCGGACCGCAACCAGAGGAGTATGATACTGTTCCTCACATTCGGAGGACACTGAGCGCGACAAAGCCGCTCCCGCACTGGGCCTCTCTTTTAGGGGTTGGAATCAACATTGATCGCACCATTGCCAAAACCCTCGACCCCATCTACATTCACACACTCGATCGAATCAACTCTCGCGCACTCTGCTCGGTAATAAAATTTAGTCGCCCGGGCGACCTTATTCACCACTATTACCTGCCACCTGCTTGGATTTTGCTTTTGCAGCTTAACAACTAGACGTTTCCTCTCTCTTTCTCTGCTCGCGATTTATACGAATGAGCACGAACAAATTTATACGAATGTCCGTCGTACGAAAAATGACTAATGATAACTAAAAGTGCTTGGGAGAGAAAGAGAGAACCGAAGGTAAAACTATCTCGAATAGGCCCTCATGCGTTATGCATATCGTGGTACAGAGAACGACTGACTGCTTCGTGTCGGAGCTCAGCCGAGCTCCCGACTCAGTCGTTCGAGAGCGGTTAGGCCTGTCATGCGCGTCACTGTCGAGTTCCCCTCCAAGTTTTACGGTGTGACCACGTATTGGCCATTGCGGCAAGGTGGCCGTCGCTTTGTACATCACGAGGGGTTGTACCAGTGTGATAAGCCCGCCCCTTCTGCGATCTCTCTCTTACGCCAGTAATCTGCACGTTAGGCTTCTCACTTGCTAGCGTCACTCCCTTCCCTACGGCTTAGACTTACCGCCTAGTACCTTTTCGTCATGGCCTGGCAAGCGGTCGAATCGGGCGGCCTCTGCCGGCACTCACCTTCCTCCACTCTACTCCATGGCCCATATCACCATTCTTTCTTTTCTCTTTTTTGCCTTCTCTGCCTTTTCTAACTCTACTGCTGTAATGCCCTTTCTCCGGATTCAACCCTCGCACCCTTCTTTCTTGTTCTTTCCCAGCACGCACGCCACGCGACTCACTTTTTACTCTTCTCTTCCACGCCCTCTCCCTCGTTTGAGCCGCTGTTAAGCGCTAAATTCTTTTACGTACTCTCTGACCCGTACGACTAGTTCCTATGCCAACATCTTGTTCCTTATATACTTTACTAAATTTTTCATTTTCACTATAAATAATATGCAATCGATATAATAATATTTGAATTTTTTGAATCTATTGATCTCAAGGTCATTGCAAATATTTATTAATCCCATTAATAAAATATTAATGATTTCTCCACAAAATTCAAAATAAATTTTGCACCTGTTATAGAATGAAATGTTTAAAATCTTTTTTTTTAATTTTATTTATGCAACTATTTCACTTAAATAATTATTAAGTTGCCGAAAGTGATTTTGTAATTATATATGAATTTTCATAGCATTGTATTTCCTAAAATGTATTTTTCATGTCGTAGTTATCCAAAATAATTGATTATTTCTAAAAAAACACAAAAATCCCGAAAGAAATCATTAGTATAAATATGCATTTGAATACGGAAATGTACGCGTAGATCACGAGGCACTCATCTGTGTTTAAAAATGATGATACTAATTGGTATTTAAAAGAATTTTAAAACTTTAGTTTCAATCAAAATAAGAGTTGATGCAAATAGTACAAGTAATAATCATGATTAATTATTTCTTAACGTGATGACATTAAACATAGAAAATATAGCAAAAGTATTTTTCTTGCTTATCTCAAGTGCAACTTTAACACATTTAAATATAGACTCACAGGTATAAATATTATGCTCCACGTATCAGTTATGGAGGATACGTTAAAGTAAAGTAGGTATACATAAATATATACAATGCATTCTCATATATCTACTTCAAACTACAATAAAGTGTTGAAATATTTTCTTCAATCGCAACACTTTCTTCTACTATGAAATTATTTACTTAAATGTTCATATTTAAATACATACTTATTTAATTTATATCTAATTTTATAAATTCTTATACACAATTTGCAACGAAACAGGTTATATTTGAGTTCTAAGCAATACATTTAACTAATAAATATTTTGCTAATAACTTATGAACCTCCTATTTGTAAAGTAAACCTGGCAGTTTTACGTGTAAGAATATAGGATGCGTTTTTAAGCTTGAATGCACATACATGTTATAATTATGGTAATGAATACATCCGTTTTTGATATTCTGAATGAAATCAATAGATTAAATGCTTTTTACTTTTATAAAAAATAGATGCTGATAATTATCATAAATTGAAACTATAAATAACATTATAAATAAATAACTTTTATTCATAACTTTTATATCAATATGGTCATATAAAATATGATTTGAAATATTTTTGGAAATATATTTTATTATTACAGAAAATAATATTTTTAATAATTTAGTAATTAATAATATAATTATTCAAAATGAATGTTTATATATATATATATATATATATTGTATATTTATGTGTAAATACATATAATAACATTAACACATATAACATTTGAAAATAAAAAACAAAGATAAACCTAAATGTTGCAAATTAAATGTAAATTTGACGATATAAAAATCTTTGACTAGCATTATATGTTTCAAATAAATCATTTTATATACATAATTAATTTTGATAATAATTTTTATTAAATGTTTATATAGTCAATTAAAAATTTGAGTATGCACTGTTAAAAATAATAGTATTTTAAAAGGACATTAAATGCTGCTCTTCCAGTAAAAGATAGAATTTCATGTGAATTGATTTTTCGTATATGTATTTCTCAGTGAAGCTAGTTTACTATAATAAAACATGTTTTCATATATCACACGTATGTTCATTGTGTACTATAAAATCATCTTATATATAAACTATAGTATTTTACAAAATATATGCAAAATTTTAGAATTCATAGAATGATAGGCTTATGCAAAATTAAGCTATATAAAATACAAGTAAAAATTTTACTGTCGCTAAAATATTTATCGACTTATATGAATAGGGGTGAAAAATATGAAAAATATTGAAAAAGGATAGACATAGCAAAATTTTATAATAATACAATATGCTAATCATTTACATTATTCTTCTACGCTGATTTTACGGAATAATGTGACAATAGATAACGCAAATCATTTGAACAACATATATGTATTTACTAAAATACATTGTTAAAAATGAGGCAAGCAATCAAATTGCATATCATTGAATTCGTACATCTGACATATACAGTGCCTCCATATGAGTAGCGACGGAAAATTGATATATTGTGGTGTAATACAGATGAATGAGCTAAATGAGCTGCGAATAATCGAGTTATAATACGTAAAACTGTCGTTTTCCTTGACAGCTTTAATATTGGTGTGACGAAAACTCAACCATTATGTTATTCATACATTAACGCCTTTTCTTAATTAGAGAATTATTATAATTTATATACAGTGTTTCTTTTTTCCAATCGATGGTGATTTAATGGTGGAAATCGGTAGTAGTTACCATGAAGAATAAGAAAAATCCTAAATGATACTGTCTGTTACGTATATGTTTTTGATTCTACTTTAATTCATACATTAAATATTTATTAATACAAATGAATATAATACATAGTTTACTAAATATTTTTACAAGAACATTTAATAAATATCATAACAAGCAAATAATTCGTGTATCTAATAAATGCAAGTAATTAAAAAATAAACAAAACATCACAATTGGGATTATAATATATAGCAGTAATGTTTAAACCTAACTGACACATTGATTAGATTTGTATATTCTCCATTATAATAAATTCGATTGGATGTTGAATGCAAAAGTATCAAAATATTACATATGCTTTTCAATATGCGCTATTTTGAAAAGATGCAAATAAATGTGTATGATTATTAAAGGGCTTGCCGAAGAGACTTTTGACTACCTGTAAATATACTTATGTAACTGAAGAGCCTCGTTCCTGCTATTTCTGAAAATAAGTGCGTCAGAAACATTTTAGAAAAAAATTCTGATATAAAATGGCTGCAATTATGAAATAATTATAGTCTTTGTATTGAAATATAGATGTTTATAAATATCTTAATATCTAATTTTAGCAAAAACTAACAATAATTTTGTTTGAATTAAATAATTAGTTACATTTATGGAAATAGTACAGTGATTATGAAGAAAATTAAATTAAAGCAAAAAAATATTTTTTTTATAATTATTTTAATTTCTTTGCTGTTAAGTAGTGAATTGAATTATTATTTTTTTTTTATTTAAAATTATTTTAGTTTTTAAAATAGATACATGAGCTATTGTCATACATAATTGTTGCATTGTTTCTACCCATTGAAAAGCATTGGTCAAGCGGTGCTTCAATGATTACTAACCCAGTTTGTGAATTTTGTTTGGAAATTTACTTTATATAATCCATTTTTGCTTTACGTATTCCACAATATATAGATTGTTTCCAAAACAGATAATGCTTTCCTATTATTATTTATTTTCACATACTTCAAGATTTGTTCCAGGAGATAATTTATTACAAATGCAAGGTTCTACCTATACTATTTCATTTCGATCATTAAGTTTTCTTTAAAAAGTATTGCTGAGTTCGTGTACACAATAATATATAATTTATATACAAGGATTTCGTGCGACGTGTCATAAAAGTGAAAACTAATAGAAAGTAATTTATAAGTATAAAAGTGAAAAATATAAAAATCAAAGATAGACAGTGTTAAATTAAATTGAACGACCACAATTAGAAAAAATTTACAATTATTACTTTGAAAAGCCTTTTGTTTTAATGATGCATAACAGTCCTCAAAGGTAAAGAGAAAAATTTCAGACAACTACAGTTTAAAATAAAAACTTAGAAGACAATAATCATAGTATAACAAAAAAACAAAAACAAATTGCCTCGACTGTTGTTTCAAACGGTAGGGTTACATCAATTAAATGAATTTATCTCACAAATATTTGATATTTTCTATATTGAAAATACTCTTATTAATATTTCGTATATTATTAGCACGAGAAAACAGGAAAATACGAAATTGAGTTACACTATTTATATTTACTCATATAGAAAATAAATATTTTAATTTTGTATTGAATGTTGATTGAATGAAGGTATATTGAATGAAAAATAAACAAAGTAAATTGTGAACAGCATGATTGAATTAAATTAATAAAAAAGTGACATAAGAATTTGAAGAAGAATTAATGAGTCATTGAGATTAAGTGGACATTGACTGGTATAAGCACCATAAGATAATATTTATATGATGATATCGAAGAATCAACAATTTGTGATAAAAAAATTTTGATTCTTATAGAATACTTTACTTAAAGTATTCATTTCTTTATTATTTGCAATAATAATAAAATG